AAATGGATCGAAGATGGAAGTGCAACGATTCCGCCACCAATGGAACGAAGTGCTTTTGAAGCGAGCTCTTCAGGCGATAGTTTATGCTCACCACCTTCAATTTGTATCACATCATCCCTCAAAATTCCAATACACTCATTGGGGACCTGATAAGGAAACCGCGGGTTTCTCAAATAATTCACACGCGATCGCATCTTCTTGAGTAACTCCATATCTCGTTCGTGGAATGGATGCATGGAATTCTTTGGTTTCTGTATCACGACTTTCTTGGGTTCCAAGGCACCAACGGGCGTAGACCCAAGAGAATGAGCAAGTTGTTCTGCAGCTTCTACTTCCAGTATTCCCGGAACTTCAAAGTTATCAGAAATGTTCTTTTTCATGAGCCAGATATCTTGTAATCCGTTGTCTGTTCGTGTGATCATGACGTTACGGACTTGATTGAAGATTCCGGATGTAGGTGCACCCATTTGTAGTAACTCTATATTTATGGGTTGGAGTCACGGATGTGCAAATTATTGAAATTACCTAAATCCGAAATGGGGACTGGCGCTCAGGAGCTCCCAACACTGGAATCTTCAACCCTTTCTCATGCGAATAGTCCGAAAACACAGTCGACACCATCATGCTCTTCGACTTTCCATACATTCGATGCGTATTCACCCACTCCATATCCCTCGCAGCTATCGCAACGCGTTTTTCAAGCTCTTCAATTTTTTGGAGATGCTGTGTACGTTCTTTGATGACTTTTGCGACCCAGTCGGATTTGTTGATGGAGATTCGCGAAACTTTTCAAGTGTTTCGTCGTCTGGAGCGAGTCGGTATATCGTTTCACTGATGTACATTGGAGTGACTTTAAAGTTCACGTCGTATAGAGCTTCAGGCCATCGTTCAGGTTCTGGTTTAGGAGGCGGGGGTGGCGGAGGTGTGTTTGGAACGACAAGCGTCAATGTACCATCAAGAACTGGAGGTGCAGAAACGGCAGCTGCAGCAGCTTTCGCCGCCAAGAGGTTGCAATTCTCTTCTCCAATGACGATTCCAGTCCTCGGGTCTTTGCCAATCGCCAATTTGATCATGGAAGGTTTTTGGTCAGGTTTCCTTTGGATCCTGCTTTCCCACTCTTTGTCGGTGACGCTTTCAAGCTCTTGGATGCGCTTTTGGGTGGAGGTGGGGCCTTCTTCCCGCTTGCTGTGTTTCTTCCAGTTCCAGTTCCAGGTTTTCCAGTCACACCTGTGACGTCTTGCGGAGAAACCGGCGGTTTCGGTGGTTTATAAGATTTCAAGTCCTTGTTCGCACAGACAAGTGACTCTAATGCTTTCGCTTGAACTTCGCCCCACGTTTTCAAGTCCAATTTCGCGCTTTTGAGTTCTGTTTCCAAAGCCGATAGCTCCGTTGCAAATACAAACGAGGCGCCACGAGGCAATTTTCCTTGTGGCTGTATTTCCGGAGCAGTTTTGAGCCATTCTGGTTTTTTGATGACATCAGGAGAAGGTAGTGGGGAATCTTGTGGAGACTGGTGGTTTAAGATGGCTATATCCTTTCGTTTGATTTCGTTCAAGTCAATGTTTGATTTATGCAGTTTAGTGAGTTGAGCGTTGATCAGGGTTTGGCGCTTTGATTTTCGGAGAGGGTGTTGTGGTTGGAGAGAGATAACGGGCATAGAGCCGGTGTGCGTAATTTTTGCATGGTGTTGGAGGCTTTGATCTTGCGACACAGAGTCTGGTTCATTGATGAGAGGTGTTTGGAGGGTTGGAAGGGGTGGGAGTCCTTTTAGGTTAGATGCCATTCTGGACGTGATTGTCCTTCTGAATTTTGTCAAAAGAACTAAAAAACGAACTGGGAGAGAAAGTAATACTCGCTCTTAATCTCGTCGAAATAATCCTCAAAATGTCCGATTCCACAGTGTTATCCTCAACTGAGACCAACAGCGAAAGTCCACCATCGAAACGTCTCAAACCAAACACACCGCCACCACCTCCTCCATCATGTCTCTGCATCTCCTGCAAATCCAATCCAGGCCTCGAAGACTGCCGCTTCCTCCCTCCAAACACCAACAACCCACCTCAGTCTCCACCCGAACCCAGCTCCAGACCTAACCGCCCTCCAACAACCTCTGACCCATCCCTCCTCTCCAACCTCAAATCAACCCTCCAAACTATCCTCAGCCAACAAATCCGCATCCTCCCGCACCCACTAAACACCCGTCAACGTCCCTCTCCTGGCCACTACATCCAATGCGACGCGTGTGAAGCGTTTCTGTTTCTGGGACATGTGCGGTGCATGACTTGTGGGCTTGAGATCTGTTGCGACTGTTTTGGGGAGTGGATTCACAGGGATGGGAGCAACGTTGGTGGCGGAGGGTTGGATGTACGGAGGAAGAAGGTGGATGATTGTGTAGCTAAAGTGGGAGTCATTTGAAAGAGGATTTTAGTGGGTGGATGTTTTTGGTGGATGGGTTGGGATGTGAGGACAGTACGAGTGTTTGTGAGGGGGAAGAGGATAAGAAGAGGGAGATTGTGTGCACGCGTCAAGTTGAGAGGTTTGAGGCGGGAGTTGTGACGGAAGAAGAGTTGATGGAGGCTTGGAGACGGAGGGGTGTGGTTGTGGTTCAAGGAATCAAGTTTACAAACAAATGGGATCCATGGAGTATACGAGATGCGGCAACGGTGAACGACACGATTAAAACGCGAACAGCAAACAAGTTTGAAATTGTGGATATGTTGTTTTCAAAGTTTGTGAAAGAGGTTGGTACGGGAAAGGATTGCAAGGGATTTGTGAGTTGTTTCTTTGGAATGTTTATTATAAACTCAATTTTTCAAGTAGGATTATCCTGTCATTAAGAAACTGGAGGATGTGATTCCGATTCATTGGAATGAGTTCAGAACCACAATACCATTCAAGCAAGTGTTGATGAAAGACGAACCTTTGAATCTTTTCTCGTTCCTTTCTGAACAAGAGTACATGCAGCTGCACGGGGCTACGTTGTTTATAGGACCCGCAAGCCGAGGGACCGGGCAACAACGATGTTGCACAAAGACAGCGCATCAGCGTACAATACTTTATTATACGTTCAAGATGACACGAGACCTGGTGCGCTCTGGCACATTTTCAACCAAGATGATACACGTATGATAGCAAAAGTCTTCAACCAGCCTGAAATTAACTCTAATCCACTCATGGACTTTACACTGTACTTGAATGCCAAAGATCTTGAAGTCCTTGAAAGAGAGCATGGCGTGAAACCAATTGTGATTGAGCAGCGGGTTGGAGAAATGATACTCATTCCTGCTGGATGTGCACATCAAGTGAGGAACTTGCAACTATGTGTGAAGGTGAGAACGTTTTTTATTTTAATGTACGTTTATTAAAGATGGTTCATGCAGATATCGCAGGACGTGATTAGTATAGACTGTTTGAAGGAGGCAATGGCAATTGAGAAAGAGTTCCGTGTCCTACCCGAAGGCCATAATCGACGAACAAGCTCGATCGCAGCAGTAGGATTAGTGATATCAGCGTACGAGCGACTGAAGGAGTTGTCAATAAATCCAGTTTCTTGATTTCAAACTTCCCTACAGTTGACACAAGCAACAAAAGATGCAGCGACCACTGATTTCGCGGATCGCCGCTGTGTCGACAATGGCCTTGCTCCACCAGAAAGCAGGCCACGTGCGCGGTGTCGCATCCACGGCGGCAGCTTCGACGGCAAAGACGACGTGGTCGTTTGGACTTGGGTCACTTGGCGTTGGATTGTTTGGTGGTGGTTCGGCGGCCGCGTTTTCAACTTCAACTTCGACTTCGACTTCGACTTTGGCAAAGAGCGGCGACGGGTCAAAGGCGGCGCCGTTCGATGTGGTGATTGTTGGTTCGGGTGCGTTGAACTTGCTTGAGCGACTGGCTTTAACTCTGCTTCAAAAGGACCCGCTGCCCACACTGCCGCAATCTATGCTGCTCGTGCAAAGTTGAATCCGGTGCTCTACGAAGGCTTCATGGCTGGAGGCGTGGCTCCTGGTGGCCAGTTGACTACAACAACTGATGTCGAAAACTGTAAGTACACTCTCTCCATGCATTCTCTCTAATCACGGTATATAACATACAGTCCCTGGCTTCCAAAAGGAATCTCTGGCCCTGACTTGACGACCTCTTCCGTGCCCAATCGGCACACCACGGAACTACAATTCACACAGAGACTATCGCTTCAGTTGATCTCTCCTCCCAGCCGTTTGCCCTTTTTACTGAAGGAAACCTTCAACTCCCATCTACACTTCCTCCCTAATCATTGCTACCGGTGCTACTGCCCGTAGAATGAACCTCCCGGCGAATCCACCTACTGGCAAAAGGGAATCTCTGCTGTGCGGTATGGACGGTGCCGTCCCCATCTTCAGAAACAAGCCCCTCGTTGTCGTCGGTGGTGGTGATTCTGCCGCCGAAGAAGCTCTTTTCCTCACAAAGTATGCCTCCAAAGTAAATGTCCTTGTGCGAAAAGATAAACTGCGTGCTTCCAAAGTCATGGCGGACCGTCTCCTGGCGCACCCGAAAGTGGAAGTCATTTTTGATACTGTTGCTGTCGAAGCTGTCGGCGATGGTTCTCTGCTCCAAGGTGTCGTTGTGCGCAACGAGAAAACTAAACAAACTACTACCATCCAAGCAAATGGTCTCTTTTATGCTATTGGTCACGTGCCCAACACGGATTTCTTGAAGGGAACCCGTGTAAAGCTGGACAGAGATGGTTATGTTTTGGTGACCCCTGGTACGAGTGAAACTAATATTCCTGGTGTCTTTGCTGCCGGGGATGTGCAAGATAGACGGTACAGACAAGCCATTACTGCTGCCGGCTCCGGATGCATGGCAGCTCTGGACTGTGAGAGATGGTTGGAGGCCAACAAGCATTAATAAAGAGATCTTTCATTGAAGATTCCACCAATAATTGATGAGTGTCGTCAATTAAGAAAGAAAGTATTCAATCAGGTATTAAATTATATGTTGTACTAATTTCCACGTTTTTAGCCTCTATTAGCTCAGTTGGTTAGAGCGTGGTGCTAATAACGCAAACGTCCATTTCCTCGTTCCGAGCAAATGTCCGCGAGCTTTATTGTGCAAAGGTCGGTGGATCAATCCCGCCAATGGGCACGTGACCAGAGTTTTAGTTGTTCGTAGAATGAAAGGAAGGAAGAAGGGAAAGAAAGTAAGGCATCGCACTGGACTCAAGGCCAACTGTGTTCCGTCGTAACGTGCTTGTACGGAGCGTATTCCCCATCTGCAGTTACTTTCTTGTTTCGCACACGTGTGTTGGGTGAATTTAAAATGTCTGGTTGCGATGTGAAGCAAAAGTTGTCATCCTCAGCGGAACAAAAACGTTGCACTGCGAAGCATCGAAAATACTCTACGCATAGCGTTTCCAATTCTTAAATGCCCTATGTGATTGGAAACGTTGACCCCATTACCCTCACAATCATTGCAATAACTATGTTTAGGCAAGCAATAAATGGAGTCACAGGGGATTGAACCCTGGGCCTCATGCATGCGAAGCAGGCGCTCTACCACTGAGCTATAACCCCATACACGCGGATTTGAATAATACATTTAACAATAGTTGAAAAAATACAATATTCTGAAAGTCACTGTTTTTAAGAGACTTAGAAAGGTGAGAACCATGAGTGTATGTTTTACCGGTGCATGTATTTTCGAACTCAACAAACAATTCAAGAGATATTAACAGCCTCCAGTAAACCAAAGTCTCCACAAAAGACTGTTTCCCGTCACGTACACACACTGATATGTGATGCCATCAGCGCATTTAGTTGTTCCAAATGTCAAACACGATGTTCCTTCCAACGGGCTCTTCAATATTGTTGTTGGAGTAGAAGAAACTACGGTGACTGTGGAACTAATAGAAATGCTTATTGTTGGTAGAGCGCAATAGTTTGCCCATTTTATCCAAACCAGCGAATTTCCGTTGCCCATACTGCACTGGTATGTGATACCATCCACGCATTGTCCTGCCCCAATCACAGAACAAGCGGTTCCTATTATTGGTGAAATAATCACAGGCATAGCGGCAACACTGACAATAGACCCTAAAAGACTAACGACTCCACAATTCGCAAAGTTTGCTTGAGGCCAACCCGGCTGGTTTGGGTAAGTCAGACACGTTGTGCAACCAGTTGATTGGGAAGGCTTGAAATTTATCAAACATATGCAGTTGATGAATGGACCTGATTGAGTGAGCGCGCTGTAATTGATTCCCGGTTGAGACTGTGCGTTTGTACATTGAAGGTTACATTGACTTGCGGTCCAGATCCCGTTATTACTTGATGTGGCAACTATTTGATATACGGTTGTTGAGGATGGGAATCCAGGACCAGTAAGGCAAACTGAACCATCATTGAAAATAGCAGCTTGAGTTGTTGTTGTTGTTGTTGAAGTAGTCGTTGTTGTACTTGTGCTCGTCGTGGAAGTAGTCGTAGAAGTCGTGGAAGTCGTGGAAGTGGAAGTTGTAGTCGTCGAACTGGTTGTTTTTACATCTTTATTGATTGGCATAACTGCAACCAGAGAAATAGTTCCGGTCCACTGATTTGCAACTCCGCAAAGAGCGCCATTGGTTTGACCATTGGTGACGCAGAGAGAACATCCAGTGGTTGGACTTGTTGGAGTGAAGCTTATCAAACATTCACAAAGAACCGCACTTCCAGCTTGAATTAAGGCACTATAGCTAACTTGTGGGGCTGTGCATTGTTTGTTGCAAAGAGCGGTTGTCCATGGGTCCGTTCCTGGATTTGAGGCGAAATAGCTGTATTTAAGGTAGTTAGAACGTAACCAATGATGGACCAAGGCATTTTACGTCATAATCAAATTGATATTTGTTCCACTGTAACAAACTGAATCTTGAGAGCTTTGCACTGTGGTTGATGTTGTTGTTGTTGTTGTTGTTGTTGTTGTTGTTGTTGTTGATGTAGTTGTTGACGAAGATGTAGTAGAGGTCGTCGATGTTGTCGATGGTGTCGGTCCAGGTGATATCTTAGAAGTAAGTGGTATTGTTGTTGCTGGAGACACCGATTGTATGGATGGAACTCCACTACATGGAGTAATCCACAGTCTCCAAGTAAGGGTATTAAAGTCGCTGTACCAGCACTGATACAAGCTGTTGTTCAAGCATTGAGTTGAGCCAAATACCGTGCAAACGCTTCCTGAGATGGGATCAGTCATTGTTTGTTTCCTTCGGATTGTTTCCAGTCAGAGAATATCAATCGCAATTCCAACAGGATTAACCGTCGTCTAAACTCAAGACAAATAGGACTATCTTGCAGGTTTTGTGAAAAGTAATGGGCAAGTCAAAAGATATCAAAAAACTTCTTGTATTTAGCAAAAGCACCCAAGGTGGGGATCGAACCCACGACCACCTGCTTAGAAGGCAGATGCGCTGCCGCTGCGCTACCCGGGCTGTTATTACACTTATGTTACAGAAATCAAGAAAATCATTAAAAAATTCAAAAATCCTTAAAAAATCATAATATGTCGACATAATATCCGTGTTTATAGACAGGTTAGAGTCAGAATTTGTATTGAACGTTGAAAAAATGAGATCTATGACAGATTCTCCATTGCTTTTTTGCGTCCGAGTTCAGAAAAGCATAGAGAGATTGAACAATGGATGATTAACTTCAAGGGAATAGCTGCTCTAACCGGGCATATGGTCTAAATAATAACAAGTTGTGATATTCCAAGATCTGAATGTTTGTTTAAACAATTTTGAAACTGAGGTGGGAGACCCTGCAAAGAAACTAGTCTAAATCTCAACTTATTTCCTTCCTTCCTTTCCCATTATATAACAAATATCAAAATTAAAAGTGGTACCTCCTTTCAGATCCAATTTAACGCATTGTCCTTGAAGTTGAGGGAGATGGTGGAAGCTGGAAAACTTTACAAGTCCCGTCATGGCTCGTCTATTCTTAAACTTGCCAACGACGAATTGTCCTTGGAGCTAAGGGAGATGGTCGAAGCAGGAAACCATCCATTTGTGGAAGGACGGGATGTGGCGTTAGGGTGGCGGGGGTTTAAGGAGGGATGATTCCTTGTGGGCGCCGATTTCTTCAATTCACACATTGTGGGGAGTGGATCCAAAAGATTCTCTCTCACTGATGGGTACGTTTGGATGAAACTCAATGGTTGTAACGTATCAGTTGCACGAGCCAATCCGAAGTTGTTCCTGTGAGGAAGTTTATGAGAACCCTAATCCGAGAGTATGCCTTACTTCCCTTTCTTTTGTTAACTTTTTATTAGGAGATCTCTCTGTCAGCAACAAAACAGAGATGATGTCGGGCTCCAATACTTCCCGGCTACCAACCACTGGAAGGCGTCCATCTGGGCAAATAACGGAGCTGGAATGCGCAAACACGTGGGACATTTGACACGAAGCAGAGCTCGTGACCTCATTAGTCCTCACGTGGAGCGAATTAACCGTGAAAGGGCTGGGTTGTCTAAGGAAGGATTCAAGCGGTATCTCTCTGACGAAGTTACCAAGCTTCTGCAGGTCTGATTTACGTCTGATGTTTGAGGGGTTCGTTTGTTCATTTGTGCCTCAACCTTCTAACTTACAAAATAATACTCTCCTCCTCTTCCATATATGAACGCCAAACTAGAAGTCTTGCAGAAAAAGAAATGACGACGAGGGCAAAAACTTGGACATGGACGACTCGGAGGATTTCTCAGGATGGAATAAGTGTTGGTGAGAACCACAAATTGAATTCGACTTGGATGGAAAGAGAATGGACGATGATGGTGTAATCGAAATGCAAGGAAATAAGTCTTCAACCCGGTTAGAGTCTTATAACGCACAACACTCTTAATATCTGATTTTTATGCTTGTTATTGAACATATGGCTTGTTGTTGTGGAACATTGGATGTCAATTCTTATTCATTGGAACGACAACAAAACAAGAAACGACAATTGTTCGCAGGGGCAATTACACGTATATAAGAAATCACATCATATTCTAAATAAAGCTGTACCCAACCTCCTCCGCATCCTCCTCCTCTTCTTCCCCTTCTTTTCAGGCTTAGCAGGACTCTGAACAGGACTATCCTCGTGAAACTTTAGATTTTGCGTCGATTGCCCCGCTTCCCCAAGCACAAACGGCTCTTCACCCTCCAAATCATGTCCACCCACATCAGGATCCATTTGGGTCTGCTGCTGAGGTTTCACTTGACTTGCCCTCCTAGCCTCCCTCTCCTCCCTCTCCTGCTCCTTCTGCAACTCAGCGAGTGGGTCAAACCAACTACCCCATGAACTCCAAATCTTGCGCGCGCCGGCTCCAACGTTCTCAAACACCTTGTTTGCGTTTTCTTGCATCACGTTCGGGTCTTTGAAACCAGCCACGACGGCGCCGAATCCTTCTTGTGCGGCTTTTCCTGCGTTGAGGGCGGCGATTTCAGCGGCTTTTCCAGCGCTGCTGAGGACTTCGCCGGTTTTCTTGCTTAGGTCTGTAGCGACTTCCTTGGCTTTTTCGAATTGCTCTGAGAGGGCTTTTTGTTGTTCGGCGGATGTGAGGTCTCGAACGACGGTGGAGACACGGGCTTCAGCTTGGTTGAGAGCACGGGTTAGGCCTGTTCCGATAGGTGTGAACGTGTTTTTGATGTTTTGAAGGGCAGCGGCGACGGGGTCTGTGGTTGGAGTTCCATGCTTCAAGTGACCCGGGGATTTGAGCAGGTCGCCGGGATTGAGGAGTGGGTTCTCGCGCCAGAGTTGATAGTTCTTGGTTTGGTACCACAGATCGATCCAGGCATAGTTGAAGTCGGCGAGGAGGTCTTTGTCGATCACTGTCATACCTTTAGATTCTTGGTACTTACAGCATAAAATTATTTCGCTTACTTTCAGCTTCCAAGCCAAACTCGTCATCCAAAGCAAGAGCTGCTGCGTCTTCTTCGTTGTCCATCACCAATGCATGCTTCGCAGTGACAGCCAATGAAGTAAAGTATGATTCAAAGTTGTTGCGGATGTAGTTGTCGGATCCTTCATAATCTCCCATTTCATCGTTCAGATCATCTGGATTCTTAACGTTAGATACAACTCCCAAATTTACGCTAAAAGACTCACTCTCATTGTAATCTTCCCAAGAGTCAACAACAGTAT